GGGCACTCCAAGCCAGGACTGGTTTTCAAGTGGGGCACCCCTGAGAACTGTCTGTCTGGGGTGGGGGTCGGGTCCCTTTAAGCGCAGCCCTCGGCTAGCCTGAGACAGCATCTCCATGCTCTAAGTCCTCCTTTTATGCCCTGCCGGCACTGCTTCCGGCCATCCTTAACCCCAGTTCAGGGTCCACTTAATGTGGACATGCTAGTTCGAATTAGCAAAACGCTAATTCGAACTAGTTTTTAGTTCTAGACGCGTTAGTTCGAATTAGCTTAGTTCGAATTAACCAGCCCTCGGCTAGCCTGAGACAGCATCTCCATGCTCTAAGTCCTCCTTTTATGCCCTGCCGGCACTGCTTCCGGCCATCCTTAACCCCAGTTCAGGGTCCACTTAATGTGGACATGCTAGTTCGAATTAGCAAAACGCTAATTCGAACTAGTTTTTAGTTCTAGACGCGTTAGTTCGAATTAGCTTAGTTCGAATTAACTAATTCGAACTAAGTTAGTTCGAATTAGCGCTGTAGTGTAGACATACCCTGACAGCTTCAGGTCCCTTCCAGTTCTATGATTCTATTATTCTAATTTTAACCATTTAACTTAGTACTAACACAGTACATTTCATTTTACATTCAAATGATATTTAGTAAACTATCTGAGACAAATTTTCATTGTCTGTGACATCTGTAGGGGGGGCCTGACTCAGCTCCTGTTGAAGTTAGCAGCGAAACTCCCCATGATTTCAACAAGAGCAGAATTGAACCCTCAGATGTGGCATTGTGATATATGGCAATATTTACCTTTGTATTTAACTTTGCCTCGATGATCCTTCTCACCTCAGGGATATCCAGTCTACCCAGGTGCCATGGGAGATCTAAGAGAAACAAAAAATACACATTGGTTATGGATGTCCTCTTCCAAGCAGCCAAAAATGCAAGAAAACCACTTGGATAGAAAAGAGTCTGAACTGAAATATTAGATCCCAACAGCCCTATTCTATTTAGAATTAGTGGATGGGATCTACTGTACTAAATCTAAAACTAAATCTATGTCGGATACCCTCTAGGGCCCTATATATACAACAGGTTGAACAAAACCTTTGAACCTGGTTTTGGATGTAGCTCTTCTTTTAAACTTCTGCATCCATTTCGTAGGCCTCGTCTGCAATAACCCCTACCAACAATCCAATCTATGTGACTTCATAAGAACATAAGAATGGCCATACTGGGTCAGACCAAATGTCCTTCTAGCCCAGTATCCTGTCTGCTGATAGTGGCCAATACCAGATGCCCCAGAGGGAGGGATCACAACAGGTAATCCTCATGTGATCACCTACCTCCAGAGAAACAGAGGCTAATAGCTATTGATGGACTTAACCTCCATGAATCTATCTACCTTTTTTTTTTAACCTTGTTAAAGTTCTAGTCTTCACCGCATCCTCTGGCAAGGAGTTCCACAGGTTGACTGTGCTGAGTGAAGAAAAACTTCCTTTTGTTTGTTTTAAACCTGCTACCTATTTATTTCCTTTGTGACCCCTAGTTCTTTTATTGTGGGAATAAGTAAATAACTTTTCCTTATTCACTTTTTCCATACCAGTCATGATTTTATAGACTTCTATCATATCCCCCCTTAGTCTCCTCTTTTCCAAGATGAAAAGTCCAAGCTTTTTAATTTCTCTTCATAAGGGACCCGTTCCAAACCACTAATCATTTTTGTTGCCCTTTTCTGAACCTTTTCCAATGCCAATAGATCTTTTTTGAGATGAGGCAACCACATCTGTATGCAGTATTCAAGATGTGGGAGTACCATGGTTTTATATAGAGGCAATAAGATATTTTCTGTCTTATTCTCTATTCCTTTTTAAATGACTCCTAACATTCTATTTGCTTTTTTCATTGCCAGTGCACACTGAGTGGATATTTTCAGAGAACTAGCCACAGTGACTCCACGATCTTTCTCTTGAGTAGTTGTAGCCAAACTAGTCCCCATCGTATTTATCTATAGTTGGGATTATTTTTTCCAATGTGCATACTTTACATTTATTGACAATTAAATTTCATTTGCCATTTTGTTGCCCAATCACTTAGTTTGGTGAACAAGAAGCTCTTCACAGTCTGCTTTGGTCTTAACTGTCTTGAGCAGTTTGGTATCATCTGCAAATTTGGACACCTCACTGCTTACCCCTTTCTCCAGATCATTTAGGAATAAGTTGAATAGGACTGGTCCTAGGACAGATCCTTAGGAGACCCCACTGGTTACCTCTCTCCACTCAGAAAACTTACCACTTATTCCTACCCTTTGTTTCCTGTCTTTTAACCAGTTATCAGTCCATGAAAGGACCTTCCCTCTTATGCTATGACAACTTACTTTACTTTAGAGCCTTTGGTGAGGGACCTTGTCAAAGGCTTTCTGGAAATCTAAGTATACTATAACCACTGGATCTCCCTTGTCCACATGTTTGCTGATCCACTCAAAGAACTCTAGCCGATTAGTAAGGCAGGGTTTTTCTTTACAGAAACCATGTTGACTTTCCCTCAACAAATTATATTCATCCACGTGTCTGACTATTTTATTCTTCACTGTAGTTTCAACTAATTTGCCTGGTACTGATGTTAGACATCAGTACCAGGCAAATTAGTTGAAACTACAGTGAAGAATAAAATAGTCAGACACGTGGATGAATATAATTTGTTGAGGGAAAGTCAACATGGTTTCTGTAAAGAAAAATTATGCATTAGGTACGGAATCCGATTTACAGGATCGGTTACACACCACAGTTAATAGTTCCACAATTTCCCATCTGAGTTCTTCCAAAACTCTGTGACAATTCCTCCGATTTGTCATCTGAAAAGAATGTCTCAGGTCTGGGAATCTCCCCAATATCCTCAGCCATGAAGACTGAAGCAAAAAATTCATTTAGCTTCTCCACTATGACTTTATTATCTTTGAGTGCTCCTTTAGCATCTCGATCGTCTAAGGGCCCCCTATTGGTTGTTTAGGGTTGTTCCTGCTTCTGATGTACTTAAAAACATTTGACTATTACTTTTTGAGTTTTTGGCTTTCCTTATTATATTTTTACACTTTATTTGACAAAGTTTATGAGCGGTTCTATTTTCCTCATAGGCGTCCCACATAAGGAAGGCAGGATAAGGTACACCCCGAAGAGAGAGTAGTTGGGTGGGTTTCTGTGTGGCCTTAAGGATTGCTCATTTGTCTCTGGAGGGCAGGGTTGAGGGTTCAAGCCCCACCCTAGGTGCAGCAGAACAGCCAATACAAGCTGCACCAGGGCTGGAGTTAGCAACTGCATTAGGAAAGCAGGAATAAGGGATGCCTGGAAGGTGCTGGGTGTGGGAGTGGCCTAGAAGACTAGAGCATCTCCATCAATAGAACCTCCCCTAATAGATGTCTCTGTCCAATCCATGTGTTCCTCTGCACCTGTCGGCCTTCCCCCAGACCTTAGTTTAAAAACTGCTCTACAACCTTTTTAATGTTAAGTGCCAGCAGTCTGGTTTCATTTTGGTTTAGGTGGATCCCATCCTTCCTGTATTGACTCCCCTTATCCCAAAAGTTTCCCCAGTTCCTAATAAATCTAAACCCCTCCTCTCTACTCCATCATCTCATTCACACATTGAGACTCTGAAGCTCTGCCTGCCTACCTGGCCCTCTGCGTGGAACTGGAAGCATTTCAGAGAACACTACAATAGAGGTCCTGGATTTCATTCTCTTTCCTAGCAGCCTAAATTTGACCTCCAGAACCTCTCTCCTATCCTCCCCTATGTCACTGTTACCTACATGAACCACGACCACCGGCTCCTCCCCAGCACTACACATAAGTCTATCTAGATGTCTTGAGAGATCCGCAACCTTTGCACCAGGCAGGCAAGTCGCCATACAGTTTTCCAACTATGCAAATAATATAACTGAAGTCAACAAACCTATCACAGTGTCTTGCATGAGGTAAGGTTGGTAGGGGCTGCACTCCCCTGGACACCAGCTCCTCTTCTCATCCCGGTAGAGTACAGGCATCAATGGGAGAGCTCTTGGAGATCAACTGGTTGTGTATACGGAGATACGATAAATCAACAGCCGGTGGACTGATTGCTGCAGTGTCAATCCCCAATGCAGTGGAGACACGCTCCCATTTCACTTGTGTCCATGTACATAACACCTTGGATTTGTTGCTTCACACTCCAAAGGAGCAGCATCTGCAAAACAGTCAGGGTGTGCCTGGTATTTCAGTACTTACATGGCACATCCGTCCTCCCGCTGACTTGCCATCAGTGTTACACTGTCCAGACAAAGCAAAGGATTTATTGCGGAATCTCAGGCTGGCATCACAGCCCTGTCCCTGAAGTGTACGATGACAGGAGGCTGCAGAACAGCAATGGGGCTGCCTTTTGAGTGCTTCAGGGTGTACATTTTGGCCAAGCAGGATTGCTTAAAATGAGACACTCCCCTGAGATTTCTCAACAGCTCCAGAGAAAAGAAGCCTATTAAAAGGGCGGGGCCCCACATGTTAATCTGGCACAGAAATATTTATGCAGGCCAGAAAGTGAAATTCAGGGTGATTCTATTAACTTCAGTTACTCTGGATTTCCACTGGTGATCTGAATCTGGCCTGCAAGCTTTAAGGAGAGCTGTATTCTGTGGTGCAGATGGTTTGCATTCTAATTTGGAGGGCAAGCAGGAGCGGTTGAATGACTTTTCAAACCTTTGATTACTGACCGATGCATTCCCTTCAGGAGACACAAAAGTACAAAACCTCAGCATGGAATAACTCTTGTGATTTCTTTTATTTTTCCTCCCTGGGCAATTTTATCAGTTTGGCATTTGGCCAACACATCTGTCCTTGTTAACATATGCCGGCTGTGAAATGCTGCCCCTGGGTGGGCAAAATCTACCATTTGTATGTGAAGTAGTTGCCACGTACTCTTTTGTTTTGTTTTAGCCTCTTAAAAGGACAGTCTGGGGGGGAAATATCATCACTTAAATGACAGAAGCATAATTTAACATCCCCTGAACTATTCAACCAGAACCAAGTTGAGATAATAGGACAAATCCTCAGATGGTGGAAATTGGCTTCATCCTTTGGAGACAATGGGACCACACCCTAAGATATTGTAAACTGATGTAATTCCAAGTGATATAAACCAATTTCTGCCTGTCGAAGATCCTTCTCATTTGATGTGACCAGCAGTAGCTGCCCCAGAAGGATATCTTCACATTTGTTTTTCAGGCATCTCTTTTACTATGAATTTAACTAACAGGAATTCTGAAGAAATTTCCCCTCTGGGCATGTTACAATTATAAGTGCCTGTTGCAGGATTCTTACATTTTCCCCTGAAGAATCAGGTACTAATCAGTGGTGGGACCAAGTTATCTGAGTATCGAAATACCTCCCCCCACTTCTGATCCAGCATGGAAATCCCTAAGCACCTAGGTTCGTGAAGTCATTGAAATATCTTCAATTTTCAGCCCTGGAGAGAAAAACCTTCCCTGTGGCACTGCCAACAACAGCACGAACCTTTCTCACACCACCAAGCCAATAAGGGTGCGTCTATACTGCAGGGCTTTCCTCAAAATAAGCTACGCAAATTGAGCTATGTCAATTGTGTTTCTTATTTCAAAATAGGGAGTGTCTACACAGCACTTATTTTGAAATAGAGCACTCTTTCTTCCTTCTTCCTTATACAATGAGGATTACAGGAGTCAGAGTAAAAAGTCCTCCAGCTTGACAGTATTTTGACACTACTTTGAAATAACTGCCTGCTGTGCAGACACAGACCAAGTTATTTCGGAATAGCGCTAGTTATTTCAAAATAGTGTTGCAGTGTAGACGTATTCTAAGGGTCAATCTTGAGCTAACGGGACTTCTCTGCTGGCCCACCTAATTTTACTGCCACTGGGTTTAATGCACCTCTGTACAGAGCACCTACGATCCTCTTGAGTCCCACTCATGCCTCCAAAAGGAGGTTTAAGTGATGAGTAAGCCGCCTGCTGGCTCTCCGCACAGGGGTAGTTTCCACCCACTGAGGGTTTTGCTACTGACTTCCATGGGAGTGGGATCAGCCCTTTGAGACAAGTGACAGATGCTCCTGTGCTCAATGGCCCATTCAATTCCTCAGCCTCTCTGCGAAGACTGCCACATCTGGGGCACCCGTGGATAAGGGATGGGGGATTGTGTTTTAATCAAACCTTCTTTTTTAGCTGTGAGGTTTTACCCCAGCAGCCAAAGTCACTTCCGCACAAAGTGCAAAGGAGCAAAATTGTTTAAAAAAAGATTGTTTCCACCAGAGACTCTGCCACAAATTCACTCTGCTGTCCTGAAGCAGGAAAATGGAAGCTGCATTTTTAATCATTTAAGAGTTTAATTAGTATCATGGCCTTAATCAGGAGCTGCAAATACAGCTGAAGTCATCAGAGCTTAATTAGTCTGGAAAAAAGTTTGGTGCTGTCTGAAAACGTCTCCACTGACATGAAGAAAAGAAGCCTCCAGGGTTCCCAGAGAGGAGACGAAGATGTCAGTTCAGTGGAGAAAGACTGCAGGAGTGTCGTTTTCTAGTTTTCAGAATGACCAGCGGTGGAGAAATATTAACTGACCGAATGACTCTCTTTAAGGTTGATATTGAAGACGCTGATCCATTGGTAAAAACTGGTGATTTGGAATCAGGAGAGAGGGCTAGTCCTAATGTCACCACAGAGTCTCTGTGTGACTTTGAATGAATCACTTCAGCTGGATGTCCAACATGAGACATCTAGGAACTGATTATCAGCAGTGTCCAGACCCTCTGACTCAGTGGTGGGCAAACGGTGGCCCATCAGGATTCTATATATGGCCCACAAGACTTTTGATTTAATGTTGCCCCTGCACAGGGGTTAGAAGATTCCACTGGTTTCTGTCTGCATGGTTTTTTTTCCTAACAGCATTTCTAAAGTGACATGCACATAAAGCAAGGACGCTTGAAGTGAGGAACACACAGATTGCACACAAGGCTGACTGTGAGAGCTGTGTGCTCCTTCTGCATCCAATCAAAGCACTTCTACGGTTCAGTTGGCACATCCCACAAATTCTAGGTATACAAACACAGTTAGCAAAATTACCATATCCCCCAGAAACTTAACGGTTCTGTGCATGGTAATAAAATGGGCATAACCTACCTCACAAGGGCATTACAAGGTTTAATCATTATCAAGTGCTCTGAGGTACTCAGATGATGTTTGGAAGTACTCTTGTACTAAAATTGTTTAGGTTCTGAAATGTTTTCATAGTTCTGGTGTTGTGGATGAATGATTTGAGTCTGGACAGAGTGGTTTCACTTTCACAATATTAAGTGAAGGTCAAGAAAAAACTTCCTGGGAAAATGCTGAAGGAGTTAGAATAATGTTAGTTCTTGTTGTACACTCTGTGTTTCAGTCTGTTTCTTCAAGGAAAGTATTTTAGGAGAGGTCCCCCATGTAGCAGCCGTGTATGTCCTCACAAAGGCAGGACAAGCTAAGGATGGATTCCAGACAACTTTGTGCACCGTGTCTGCTGTTTTAGCTGTAGCACCCCTTCTTGGGATACATGAGTTGACAAGTGGTCTCAGCCGAAAGAGATCTCTTTCCATCTGACTGGTCAAAGGTTTCAATGAATTGTAACACAGATAGTTATAAATCCATGTCACAATATCTACTTGGATTACAAAGTAGTTGAGGCTGTGATTTTCAAATGATCCTATAATGAAGTGCCCAGATCCCATTAAAATTCATTAGAAGCCGAGCAACTAATTCACTTAGGTTCTTTTAAAATATTCAGAGTGGAATCCAGTTGAGTTTAGCTACTGACCCCACTGGGTGATATTAAATTACTAAACTGTTACATTACTTCCTGTTTGTGTATGTTTGGGGAAAGGCCTTTCTGCATCCCTGTGCTAATACAGGGCCTTGCATGACAAGGCCCTATTCTTGGTTGGTTCCTAGGTGCAACTGTATTAAATGTACTACATAATAGTAAGTGAACACAAAATGGGCCAAATTCACCCTGACATTATGATTAACTTTAGTGAAATTACATCAGGGTTTGAATTTGATCCCACATCAATCCAATGGACCTGCACATACATTTCTTTGGGGTGTAGGTAACAGGTCAGATATGTATTAGATATGTTTGTTTTTACTTGCACTGGTGCATATCAGGAGTAACTTCACTGAAATTAACAGAATTTGGTGTAAGTATGGTCAGAATGAGGCCTCGTGTAATTCCACCAGTGATTTATTTGTCGAAGCAGCAGCAAGAAAAAAGTCTCCCAATTGCCAGAACTGTTCCTTGCCTCCAAGTGTTAAAGAATATCTCATCAGGCAATGCACTCCACCTCTCCCCTTTTTTGGGCGGAATGGGGGGTAGGAGAAGAGGAATGGGAGTTGCATTTTCATTCAGTAAATATATTACAACACACTATGGCTGTGTCTACACTGGCATGAATTTCCGGAAATGCTTAAAACAGAATAGTTTTTGTTATAAGTATTTCCGGAAAAAGAGTGTCTACGTTGGCAGGCTGCTTTTCCGGAAAAGCCCTTTTTCCGGAAAAGCATCTGTGGCCAATGTAGACGCGCTTTTCCGGAAAAGAGCCCCGATCGTCATTTTCACGATCGGGGCTTTTTTTCCGGAAAAGACTACTGGGCTGTCTACACTGGCCCTTTTCCAGAACAGTGTTCCGGAATAAGGACTTATGCCCGAGCGGGAGCAGCGTAGCTTTTCCGGAATAGCGGCTGATTTTGTACAGTAAAGCGTCGTTGCTTTTCCGGAAATTCAAGGGCCAGTGTAGACAGCGCGCAGCTTATTCCGGAAAAGCGGCTGATTTTCCGGAATAAGTGGCCCAGTGTAGACACAGCCTATTTGTCTCCCCTACAGCTTCTTGACCTTGGTGTAATGTCCCAGCTCAATGTCTCCTCAGGAGTTTCACAATGAAATTAGTGAAACCTACCACTAGGCGATAGCAAGCAGAGATATTGTGGAACTCTATTTAATAGGAAATAAGGAATTCGGTCAGTTATGTGTAAAGGAACACAGCAACAATCTGACTGGATCAAACTGACAGTCCAATCTGTCTCTGTCAGCAGAGGATCAGTTGCTTTGGCAGAAAGAGCAAGAAATCCCATAGTGGATGATCATGGGTTAATTTTCCCATAAGTTTCTTCTCAACTCCATGCTGTTATTGTTTGGCTTATTCCCTGAACCACGGAAGTAGACATCCCATACAGTTAAATAAGTCCACTCCTCCTTTGATTCCGCCTAAACTATTGGTCTCAATAACATCTCAAAGTACTGAGTTCCACGAGTTAATTATGCATTCAGTTAAAAGGTATTTTCTTTCTTACAAGTCCTCTCTGAAGAAACCTGCCTTTGTACCTGCTAAGTTGATGCACATCATCTCTTTTTTTCAGGGTGAGGGGGTGATCTGTTGGTGAAAAGAGGACAGATGACAAATGAGTTAACACAAAGCCGTGGAATGCAAGTGCGGCTCTGCTATTTTTAATTAAGAAGTGATGACAGCTGACTAAATTCCCTGACTCTGCAGTTACAGGCTCCCTGACCTAGACATTACTGGACACGCTCCTGAGACAAGGCCAATATATATTGGTCCCGGCGGTGCTTCTATTATTGTACCCGCCATCGCAACAGATGCAGGACTAACAAAATCTATGCCTATTATCAACATGAAAATAGCGAGATAAAAGTGTAAATGCTTATGAGCTAAACAAGTCAGCAGGTGAGAAGAGGACAATGAAGGTCATGCCCAGAAAGGACTCAAAATGCCTAAGTTTGGTTTTAGGGATGTGACTAATTAACCAGTTAACCCCTTTAATCGTCTAACCAGTTAAACATATAGGCTGTGTCTACATTGGCATGATTTTGCACCAAAGCGGCCGCTTTTGCGCAAAAACATGCTGCCTGTCTACACTGGCAGGGAGTTCTTGTGCAAGAACACTGGCGTTCTAATGTAGGAAATCAGGGCTTCTTGCACAAGAACTATGATGCTCCTGCTCAGGGATAAGCCCTCTTGCGCACCTGTTCTTGCGCAAGAGGCCAGTGTAGACAGGCACCGTTAATTGGCTAAAATGGCCATCAGAGCTTTCTTGCTCAAGAGAGGGTCTACACTGGCACGGATGCTTTTGCGCAAAAGCACATCTCTTGCGCAAAGGCACATGCCAGTGTAGACGTAGCCATAATGTTTAACAGGTTAACCAATTAAACAGATTTTACATCCCTATTTGGTTTCCAGTAAATGTTCAGTTTATCTTCATTCTCAACCTTTTTTAAATTACCCTTTGCAATTTGACACGATTTAGTCCAAAACCCCACCACTAACATCCTGTCTGAGGGCAGTGCCTAGAGATCAGGAGTGAAGTCAGGACCCTTCTGTGTTAGCTGCTGCAGATACATATAATAAGAACAACCCTAGCTTGTCTTTGTCCTAGTAGACAAAACAGACAAAAGGTTGATGAGAAAATAGGTGTGAGGATCTAAGATCATATAGGTTAGAGGCAGTGCTGGGATTAGAACTCTTTTCTCCTTATTCCCAGTGCAATAATGTAGCTACCAGACCCTTCTAGCTTCCTGTACGATGTACTTGTGGTACAGGAAACTGAAGATTTCACCTATTCAACAATAAAGGAGTGTCCTTTATATGAGATCTTAATGTTATTCAGTGGCATTCACCTGGTAGTGAAGGTATCTCTCATCTTAGGATAGCAACATGTTTTACAAACATTAAACTCTAAGTCTAGAACTTAAGCACCAGCTATGGTGCAGGCTGATGTATACTGTGTGAGCCGTAAAATAGACCCAGATGGAAAATGAGGCACGGAAAGCGTTCCCACTCCAAGTCATTGGCAGAGCTGTGCATATAAACCTGGGTTTCCAGCTCTCACCACAAAAACTGTCTATCTCCCTCAAACTGTAATACTGCAGCACAAATATCATATCATAATGGAGGGGACAGTTTTACATTGTTTCATCTGCTTTGGAAATGCATCAAAATAAGATAGTGAAAAGCTCCACAGGACAATAAATTCCACCTTTGCTTTTTAGCCCATGATGCCCACACAGAGGGATTTCAAAACAAAGGAAATTAAGATATTGGCATATCATTTTACCTGGAGCTCAATACTGGGTTTTAGTAAGATTGGTCAGAGCAAAAGAAATCCTTTCATTCTTTCTAAAAAACTATGAAGTGACCAGGTAAACAGGCACACTCTGTGAACCAAACCAGTCATGCTCAGATAGGGCTATCGTGAAATAAAAGCATCAAGGAATATAATCAAGAACTTTCCAGTGTGGCAGCACTGTGGGCACAGAAGGGAGGGGGTAAGTTCAGTTCTGCTGTTGCTAAGACAGTTCCCCCAACCCTAGCTTTATTCTAACCCAATCAGATGGCTTTGTCTCTCCACTGGCTCACCAGCTGCATCGAATGATCATGACAGGTTTTCTTTCTCCTCGTTCTATTGGCTTATTCCTATGGTCTATTATCAAGGGAAAGTAAATCAGACACCTAATCAATAGTTTGCAAGAAGGCACTGAGGCTGCTAGATGCTACATTTGCATTCAATCTCTCACCGTCTATGTCTCTGCATGCAGATAAGCACTGTATTAGCCTACAAGTTGGAGCACTAGCTGCTGCCAGGCAGCCATATTGGCTATGCTAGCTGAGATTTCTAGATGGCAGACTGAGACATCAAAGCATCACAGTGGGCAGCTATAACTGAAAAATCATCCTTCTCTCCCCCAGTCACCACAGCACCTAGGGCTCTGATTCTGCAGGATGCTAAGATCCTCAAAATCCATCCAAATCAACAGGAGACAAGAGCATATCACACCTTGGGGGGCTGGGCCTTATGTCCAGATGCTCCCAACAGTGTTTCTCACTATCATCCTTTTAATCTAATGAGCTAAATGTGGTCACATTCCCCCTGGGATGGCAGATTTGGTCAATAGGATGGTGGAGATACAGGAAGGTGAAGAGAAAGTGATTTTCCATTGCTTCAGTAGAATGTCAGATGTTCTCCTCAGCAGGCTGATAAGGGCATTGTTTGGTATGGTGCTCTGCCTCACAAGGCTCTTTTAGAGAGGGCTGGTAACTCATCCGTGTCCCACAATGCAGTGGGAAAACACTCTGGCTCTAAACAAGGCCATCAATGTTCTACTGAGTTACAGCAAAGATGGTGCCTCGTCCCCATTGTGCTCCACTCTTGCTGCATTATTGGTGTGGTGGTCACTCCTTCCTCAGGAGAAGACCTTTCCCAGGCCAGAGAGAGCATGGCTCTCTGAGGCCCTTGAAGACCAGGGTGAAATGTGAAATAGGACCTCAATGGGGATGAGCAGAGGAAGAACAGCTTGCAAACGTTTTCCATCAAAAAGCTAGTTTTGAGCAAAGGCCTCAAAAGCAGGCATTTTGCATGTTTTCTGCATAAAAATCACATGATATGAAGAAGCAAAACAGAGTCAAATATTTTACACAGCTTTAAAGCTGACCAGGAAGGTTGCTGCTGGCAGCCAGCTGCCCAGCAGAGGAGCGCATGGAGACCAAACTTCCCTCTGATCTCCAAAAGTAAGTCCTCCCCTTCGAGGACCAAGAGTACACTTCAATATAAACACCTGTCACAGGCATTGTTCAGCTGATATGGGCTTGGGATCTGCAACCCTGCCTCCTCAAAGGGTCCCATAGTGTGGGCTCTAGTCTGAGCTCAAATGTTTACATGGCAATTTTAGAGCCCTGAAGCCTAAGCCAGCTGACTTGGCCAGCTGAAGATGTTTTATCCAAGTGAAGACACATCCTAATGAACATCAGTATAGCTCTTTGAGGGAAGCTTGCTACCTGCCCTTTTCCTTAGCCAGAAGCTTGGTTGGGAGCAATGATAACCAAGACTGGTTGTAGAAAACCACAAAAAAATAAGATTAAGAAACAGTGACATTTTCCTATTGCCTCTTGAGTGCCACTTCAAATGCTTAGGTTCTGTTTCTTTAGGTTCTGTCAAACACCGGGACTGGGACAGGAGATGTCAAAGAAAGAAAGCTAACAGATAAGGAAAAAGTCTCTCTTTCTAAACTGTAAGACGGGTGCCCTTTAGACTGCCTGTGTGCAACTATAGAAAAGTAAGATAAATTAGATCCTGCCAAGGTGACAACAGTCAATACAAATAAGAGCTCCGACTCAAAATCCTGGTTTACTCCAGCCATTTATTTAAGTGACTTCTAGATATGCCTTGCTACTCAACAAGCTCAAACTTTGCCAGACCAATGTGGCAAGGGGAGTTGGCGCTTTCTTGCTGAGATGATCCTCACTCTGATACTCTACAGTGTCCACATCTGTGGTCTCCTAGACATTGCTGGTGCTGAGCTATGACAGGTCCATTGGATATGCCATCCAAGCGAGATACTACAGACAAGCAGAGGCTTTTCTCAAAAGTATCCCAAACAGATCTCAACTGCTGGGGTGGTGAATAAAGAGATTGTGAGATTTATTGCCTGAACTGCTATGGCCAGCATGATGACAGGTTAACCCTTATTCTGCTGTGGCTCATTTTGCTGCACCAGTTGGAAATGTTGTTTCCTTACCTTGAAAAATGTTTCCCGCTGTCTTCCCCAGGCCAATCCTGGGACAGGGCAGTAGCTGTGTTCCTCAAGCAAAGGAAGACAAAGGGGTCTTGAGCCTCCAGCTTTCATCAGCAGGGATCTACATGAACAAAACCAGACCAGTGTGAAAACCTGTTTTTTCCACACTCCTCTGCAGATCAAGGTCCAGAGGGACGACAGCACTGAATGCATGCAGAGAAGACCTGGACTGGGGCATGATATGGCAGAAAATATAGAGAAGGAAACAGAATTTCCCTTCTCTTCAAACTGGAAACAGCAAGAGAAGCAGTTCTCTTCTGCAACTTCGGCTTCTTCTACTCTCTGTTAACTTGCAGTGTATTATTCAGCCACTAGATGTCTCTAGGGGCTGCACAGTGTTTCCTGCAGGGTGTGGTCTGCAATAAACAAAGGAGGCAAAGTTAGAATTCAAGCTGTGCCGTAATCTGTATCTGTATCTGTCTTTGTTTTCTGTGGTTCCATACATCATGACACAAGCTGATTCCTGTGATGCCTGAAGTACGACATGCAAAGGCTTTTCTTTCGGTATTCTTGGACAATGATCAAACATTCTGAAGCCGCTGTGAAAACAAAAGCCTCACAAACAAGCCTGAATTAAATTTTAGATGAAGCTTTGGTCCGGTTCCTATTTTGTTCCATCCAGTTCACCCATCTTGAAACAAAACAACAGACTCCCTGCTTTAATGAATAATCTGGAAACTCAGAGGCTCTAAAGAGCATGTTCATGTGGGTAAAAACCTTTCAAATCTTCCATGGGTTTAAGAGTGGTAACTCCCCTTAAATGTAATAAGGAATGACACTATCAAATGTCCCACAAACAGAAGAGAAAATAGCACCTTAGAACTCAATACAACTAAGTCCCTGTCCAGAAAACATGTCAATCTGCTCTATATTTATCTATCTTATACTGTAAGTTCTTAGGAGCAAAGAATCTGTTATTGTGAGAGGATACAGCTGCAACGTGTGCTTTGGACAGTTTCCTCCACACATACCAATGAACTCTACCTACATATGGTTCATCCATTCAGGCCCCGATTTCTTTGCCCTGACACAACTTACCCAAAAGGTGTACCACTAATATAGCCAAGATCCTCACTGCTTCTAATAATACTGTTACACTGCTCTTTTCCTCTAAGTTACCAAAGGATTAACAAACAGTAAATTAACCCCTAACATGTCCCACTCAGAGCACATGAGTATTACTAAATCCACTGAGACACAGAGAGGTGAGAAGAATTCCTCTGGGTCACTAAGAACTGAATTCAAGTCCTAACTCAGAAGTCCGTGTTCTAACTTCTAGGGTATGTCTAGACTGCATCCCTCTGTTGGCAGAGAGATGCAGATTAGGCAGGTCAATATTGCAAATGAGATAGGGATTTAAATATCCTGCACCTAATTTGCATAAAAATGGCCACTGCGTTTTGCCAACTCAGCACTTTGTCAGAAAAAAGCGGCAGTCTAGAGGGGGATCTGTCGAGAAAGAAAGCCTTTTTCGTCAGATCCTGTAAACCTCCTTGCTGGAGGCTTAAGAGATCTGTCGGAAAAGGCTTTCTTTCTCAACAAATCCCCTTCTAGACTGCAGCTTTTTGCTGACAAAGTGCTGAGTCGGCAAAATGTGGTGGCCATTTTTATGCAAATTAGGCACGGGATATTTAAATCCCTGCCTCATTTGCAATGTCGACCTGTTTAATCTGCATCCCTCTGCTGACAGAGGGATGCAGTCTAGACATACCCCTGCAATCCTACAGTCCACAACTTAATCCGCTCCAATGCATTATCAACAATCTACAACCTCTCCTGGAAAATGACCCCCTCACTCTCCGAGGCCTGGGAGGAAAGGCCAATTCTTGTTTACAGATAATCCCCTAATCTCAAACAAATTCTTTCCAGCAACCATGCATAATCCATCATAATCATCCAGGAACCCACCCCTGTAATCAGCCCCGGTGTCAGCTCTTCCCACACATATACACAAGCGATTTCATCACTGGACCCAATCACATCAGCCGCCAAATCAGAGGCTCATTTAACTGCACATCCACTAATGTGATCTATGCCATCGAATGCCAGCAATGCCCCACTGGACAGCCTCTACAGGAAAGAATTAATGGACACAAATCAGATATCAAAAAAGGCAACACACAAAAACCTGATGGAGAATACTTTAATCTCCCTGGACACTCATTAATGGATCTCCAAGTCGCCGTTTTGTTTCAGACCAATTCCACAAGCCAAATACACAGAAAAGGGTTGGAACTTAACTTCGTTCACAAGTTTAATTCTTATGCAAATGGTGGTGTTAGCTCCAGGGCAGGCACGTTCGGGGTTTCCCTTTTGCCACGGGGGGCCCAGATGAGGCATGTGCTGGCTTCCCGCGGGGGGTGGAGGAGAATCCTGGGAGGAGGCAGATGCAAGTGACTCTGCGGCCACTGACACCCTGTCCCCACTCCCCAGACTCCACTCCCCTGTTCCCAGCTACAGACCTCTGTCCCCATTCCCGACCCCACTCTCCGAACTCTGTCCCCACTGTCACTCTGTCTCCTGCTGCAGAACCCTGTCCTCTGCCCTCCCAGCACCCTGTTCCCTCTCCCCTGCCCCAGCCGCAGAACTCTGTCCCCACTGTCACTCTGTCTCCTGCTGCAGAACCTTGTCCTCTGCCCTCCCAGCACACT